TCTCTCTCTTCCTCCCTCCCTCCCACCTACTTCTCTCTCTTTTTCTTTCATGCACAAATGTTTCCTTATAAAAGTTATATGTCTCACTTCAGTGTCTCTCTCCTCTTACATTAGTTTCAAGGAAGGAGGGAAGGAAGGAAGGAAGGAAGGAAGGAAAGGGAAGGAGGAAAGGAAGAGAGGAAAGGGAGGTAGGAAGGAAGGGCTGTCTAGCTTTCCTGTTTCTGTTGCCCTTATCAGCAGGCCCTCCTGCCTTCTTCCTCCAGGGTTTCCTCAAGGGGTCCAAGGCCCTGGGCAGACCCTCTGAAATATCTTCTCCTGACATGGACCTGTTCTTTGTTCCAGGGCGGTATCGTGGTACAGGGTGGTGCTTGGGCTCAACCGGATCTCCCAACCTGGTCCTGATGCCCAGAACCGTCTGATCAAGAGGGTGATCAACCATAAGCTGTACAAGAATGAACTGAACAGCACAGACGGAGGGATACAACATGACATTTGCTTGGTGGAGCTGATGGAGCCGGTCCGCTGCAATGACTACATCCAGACGGCTTGTTTGCCTGACAAGAGTGTGACCATCTCAAAGCTTGTCCAATGCTCTATCAGTGGCTGGGGAACCATGGAGGTCAAAGGTGAGGGGCTGGGGGGGGGGAAGGGCCCCTGAAAAAGACTGAAGGCAGGACAAGAAGCAATAGATGGGAAATTAATCCAGGAGAGAAGCAACCTGGAACTAAGGATAAATTTCCTGACAGTCAGAACAATTAACCAGTGGAACTCCTTGCCTCCAGAAGTGGTGGATGCTCCAACACTGGAAGTCTTTAAGAAGAGACTGGACAGCCCTTTGTCTGAAATGGTACAGGGTCTCCTGCTTGAGCAGGGGGTTGGACTCGATGACCTCCAAGGTCCCTTCCGACTCTATTATTCTGTTACTCCATGGTGGAGAGAGTTCCATCCCGTGAATCGTTGAGCAGGGGAGAAATGCAGGCTGGTGATTTCTTCTGCCTTCTCTTCACAGCCCAAAAGCAGCCTGACGTGTTGCAGGAGGGGATTGTTAAACTCATCCCTCACCACACATGCAGCAGCGTTTCATGGTGGCACAAACGGATCAGGCCCGAGAACATCTGCGCTGGACACGAGTATGGAGAGATCAATACGTGCCAGGTAGGCAGCTGGGGGCTTAGTTGGCCCCCCACGTCTTTCAGGGACTCGACTAAAGTTTTGGAGGTTGACCTCTGGAACGTCAAGCCTTTCTTCTGGAGAGGGCTCCTGGAGAATCATGTTTAATGTTTTAAGAACACTGTGGTGACTTTTTCACCATGGGGACAGTGCTTCTCAACCTTGGCAACTTTGAGACGTGTGGACTCTCAGAATTCCCCATTCAGACATGCTGGTTGGGGGGATTCTGGAAGTTGAACCCAAAGGTGATTTTTTCAGGAGGCAACTGGACTTTCTTGTTTTTCTTTGAAGACCTTTCGCTTCTCATCCCAGAAGCTTCTTCAGCTTCTGACTGGGTGGTGGGGAGTGGAAGGATTTATACTCCTTGCAGACAGCTGGTCATTTGCAGTCTTTTAGAGAGTCGTTGAGGCTGTTTGGAGGTTTGTTTGTGTCCTGAAGGTCACCTGAGAGGTGCAAATGGGTGTGGAGCCTTCGAATGGTGTGGGAATATGAAGGGATTTCCAGAAGACATTGCCGACTACAGGAACCATTTGCGCTTCAGTCTGAGATGCAGACAACACAGAGACTCTTCTCCAACAGCCTCCACCAGTCTTCAACAGTGAAGGGACGCAGGGCAAAAAATATCCTGCAGCCCAGAAGGCTCCACACACATTTGCACTGCTCAGGTGACCCTGAGGACACAGGTAAACACCCGAATGGCCTCAATAACACTGAAAAAGATGCAACTTCTTCTCAGGGGCAAGCACTGCCTACTCTGGAAATCCTGATCCATTAATGATGCCCTCTGTTGACAGACAGTTTCCAAATGCCCGTTGGCTCTTGGTCATGACTTCCTTCTGCTTGGCAGGCTGTGGCAACCCTTGGCAGCTTCCATCAAGATCATCTACAGGAGCTCACATCTCCTCACTGGTGTCTCTACGGAGATTCCCCGTCATTTAGGCCATGGTTGTCCCAAAGGTGCTTTTTCCAAAAGGCAACTGGACCTTCTTGATTTTTTTTCTTTGAAAAGGTTTTGCTTCTCATCCAAGAAGCTTCCTCAGTTCTGAAGATCTCACGCTTTTTGGATGAGAACCGAAATGTTTTCGGAGAATAAATGATCTTCTCAACGGTGGCACTGAACGCTACAGGGACGGGCAGGGGAGAATCCAATTGCAATCGTGGGCGGTCTGCTCATCGCCACCTTTCCCCCTTCTGGCTCTAGGGCGACAGCGGAGGGCCCCTCATGTGCAGGGAAGAGCGATCCGAGCGGTACATGGTCGTGGGAGTCACCAGCTGGGGACTAATGACCTGTGTTAACGTCCGGAAGCCAGGAGTCTTCACCTCCACACAAGTCTACATCGACTGGATCGCAACCATGACCAAAGAGGATCTGTACAAGGCAACCCACAAGCCAGTGCTGGCTGAGGTGTGGCCTCCTGAAAAGCCATTGCCAACATCCCCGACCCAATCCAGCACCCAAAAGGTGACGTGGGAGCGTCCCAAGCCCCCTCTCCCACCCAGGCCTCCAACTTTCCCTTCATTCACACCTGGGCCCATGGTTCCCCCTTCCTCTCAGTTCACACCAAGGCCCAGGCCTCCGCCTAGGTTCACATATGGGCCTAGGCCTCCCCCTCCCCCTCGGTTCACACCTGCTCCCAGGCCTCCCCCTCCCCCTCGGTTCACATATGGGCCTAGGCCTCCCCCTCCCCCTCGGTTCACACCTGCTCCCAGGCCTCCCCCTCCCCCTCGGTTCACATCTGGGCGTAGGCCTCCCCCTCAGTTCACACCTAAGCGCAAACTTTCCCCTTGGTTGATACCTGGGTATAGGCCTCCCCCTCAGTTCACTTCTGGGTATAGGCCTCCCCCTTCCTCTCGGTTCACAGTTGGTCCCAGGCCTCCCCCTTCCTCTCGGTTCACATTTGCTCCCAGGCCTCCTTCTGTGTGGAAGCCCTCACGGTGGTACTTCCTTCCTCCCACACGGTGGTACTTAGTTACTGGGACAAGGCCGTCAAAATGGGGAACCGTAACTCCTCCATGGAGAAGAACCCATGCTACTCATCGTCCCTGGACAGGGCCTGCCCTATGGAGTCTGACACGACATTTGAGGACAACTCCCAGAAAGTGGTACCATAGGGCAAGGCCCGCTGGAGGGTTCAGGCAGACATGGGCCTCACGTCAATTACAACAGCAACTGAACCCCAGATTATCGCCCCCTGGTCATTATGTCTCTTACAACTGGAATCCAAGTTTTGCCCAACCTGGCAGTCAGTCTCCCATGCTCTTGCCCCCCAGAGGACCCCAAAGGGGGTAGACATCTTAAGAGAAGCAGGACAGAAGACAGCAGGAAGGAAGCAGCTCTCAGGGATGGCGGCCTGGTCCCCATCCTTGTTTGACCATAAGCCAAAAGTCATTTCTTCCACTGGGATCCCCAGTCCCAGCCTCTTGTTCTCTCCAACATTCCCGGCTGAAGTAAGGAAATCTTGCTATACGTTGATTTCATCTTCTTATAACTAACTTTCGTTGGAATTTCTCATAGGACTTTATTTATTTATTTGGTTCTTTAAAGTGCACGTTGAAATAAAAAAATATATTAAAATTAATGTTGGACGTGTGAAGATGTTTGTGGTCTGGAATTATACACTGGGAAAATTAATCCTCTTCAGATTACGTAAAAATGGTGCCAACGTGGATTAGGGGAATGAGAAAGAAAGAAAAAAAAGGAGTCCCCATTTTCCTCCTCTCAAGAAAGTTGAAGCCAATTAGAAGCTGGGTGAATATTGATGGTGCAGAGATGATGGAGGTTACATTGTCCTTCTCAATGGAGAAGATGTCCTCTCGCAAGGGAGATCCTTTTAGATATTTGTAGGCTGCTATTATATTTCTCCTCCATCATCTCCATCATGGGGTCCTTGGTGCTCTCTGAGCCTGGATGTTTTTCTTGCAGACGTTTCATGACCAAACTAAGTAATATCATTAATGATACTGATGAGGGTAGCATTGATGAAGTTACCGAGTTTGGTAATGAAATGCCTGCAAGAAAAACAACAAAGCTTAGAGATCACCAAAGACCCCAGAGTCCTCCTCCTTCGTCCTCCTTCTCCCTGGCAAATCCCTCTCCCTTCTAGCATTGATGATGTTTCCTAGTTGGGTCATGAAACATCTGCAAGAAAATCGCCAAGCTCAGAGAGAATCAAGGACCCCTCAGTCCTTTTCTCCTCCTCCTCCTCCTCCTCCTCCTCCTCCTCCTCGTTCCCCCCTGCACAAACCCTACTCTCTTGAAGTACTGATGATGTTCCCTAGTTGGGTCATGAAACATCTGCAAGAAAACCACCCAGCGCAGAGAGGACCAAGGACGCCATGGTTCAACCCAAGCTACAAACATTCTCTTCTATCAGTAGCATCTGCACCCTTCACCATTCTCGAGGGACTTGGCTTCCCAACCCTTTCCCATTTTGATAGCGCTTCTCTGAACCTGCTCCAGATTGTTTACATTTTTTGTAACTATAACTGGACAAAGTCCTCTGAGAACAGTCCAGCCTGTTGCTTGCTCAGATGTCCTGTTGTTGCTGACCCAATAAGACAGGTACCGTTCCTGATCCCTCCCTGCCCCCACGTGCAGAATGGGTTCCATTCCTCAGCAAGGTTGAGTGGTTTTGAAGGCCACAGCCAGATGCCCAAAGGGGGTCCCTGCCATTGACCCTTCTAAAGCAAACAACAGCAAAGAATTGTGGTTCTTCAGTGTGATGTCACATTGTCTGTGGGCTGATTGGCTGGGGACTGAAAGGACAGTTTGTGATGTCACGAGTCCTGGGAGCAGGAGGTGGGACCCGACACTTATTGAGCGATGTAGGATGAAGAAGCTGCTGCTGCTCCTCTGGGCAGTTGATGCGCTCTGTTTAATCTACGATAATGAAGAGGACACTTGCACGTAAGTGAGGGCCACAGCTGGAGGGGGTCACTTCGCAGTCAACATTTGGTTGTCCTGGTGGCCGGAGAGGGAGGGATGGTTGTTGGAAATGGGTAGGGAAAGCAACAGCATGAACGGTGACCTTGAGGTCCTGCTGGGGATTGTTCCAGAAGTGTCCAGATTGCCCTGGGTGGACCCTGGAGGAGGAGGAGGAGGAGGAGGAGGAGGAGGAGGAGGAAAAGACCTGGTGGCCTCCCATATTTCCTTCTTGCCATTCTTCATTCAGTCTGATAACAGAAAACTTCCTCCTGAAGTTTCTTCTCAGAAGAACATTTGGGTGGAAGAAAATTCTTGGATGAGAAGCGAAACATTTAAAACAAAACAAAACAAGAAAGTCTAGTTGATTTTTGGAAAAAGGACCTTTGGGACAATCATGATCTGGACGATGGAGAATCTCCATAGACACCTTGCAGTCTTAGTTCAATTGCCTTTCCAGTCACATCAATGGGCTGGGTTCATACAACCATTTTGTGTGTGTTTGTCTGTCTCTCTCTGTGTGTGTGTGTGTGTGTGTGTGTATTTGCTGATACTCTACAGGTAGCCCTCAACTTAACACCACAACTGAGCTCAAAATTTCCCTTGCTAAGTGAAACATTTGTTAAGTGAGTTTGCCCCATTTGACCACGTTTCTTGCTACCGTTGTTAAATGAATCACTACAATGATTAAGTTAGTCAAACTATTGTTAAGAGGAACCTGGGTTCCCCCTGGACTTTGCTTGTCATAAGTCACAAGTCCCTTTTTTCAGTAGTGACCTTGAACAGTCACTAAACGAAGTGTTGTAAGTTGAGGACTGCCTGTACACAACCTTATATTTGTCTATGTGTGTATAATGTGTTTTGTTAGTCTTGTACACCAGTGATTGCAGGACCTCAGGGGAGGCCGTAGCTCAATCAATCGCCCCCCTCTCTTTTCGCAGGAGGGTGTGTGGCAGCCGGCCACTAGCCATGAGCCACGGCATGCTGCGGATTGTGGGCGGGGTCGATTCCCTGCCAGGAACATGGCCCTGGGCAGTCAGCTTCCAGTTCCCGACCCGGCAGGGATTCCGCCATTTCTGTGCCGGCTCCTTGATCAATTCTCGCTGGGTTATTTCGACGGCCCAGTGCTTCCTCATTCTCAAGTGAGCAAAACAAAAAACAACAAATAGCAGAATGTCCCAAGATCAGAAATGGGAACCAGTGAATCTCTAGGTCAGGGGTCTTCAAACTTGGCCCTTTTATGACTTGTAGACTTCAACTCCCAGAGTTCCTCAGCCAGGCATGCTGGCTGAGGAATTCTGGGAGTTGAAGTCCACAAGCAGGGGTCTTCCAACTTGGCCCTTTTATGACTTGTGGACTTCAACTCCCAGAATTCCTCAGCCAGGCACGCGTTGAAGTCCACAAGTCATAAAAGGGCCAAGTTGGAAGACCCCTGCTCTAGGCCGTTGTTTCTCAATTGTAGCACCTTCAAGATATGTGGACTTCAATTCCAAGAATTCCCCAGCTAGCCACACTGGCTGGGAAGTCCATGTTTCTTCAGGTTGCCGAGTTGAGAAGCTTCTGCTTCAGAAGTTGTCATACTAGCTGGGGATCCCACAGGTGCTTTTTCACGAGGCAACTGGCCTTCCTTTTTTCTTTCCGAAGACGTTTCGGTTCTCATCCAAGAAGCTTCTTCAGCTCTGACTGGATGGTGGGGAATGGAGCTGAAGAAGCTTTTGGAGGAGAAGCAAAACGTCTTCAGAGAGAAAAAAGGAAGTCCAGTTTCCTTGTGAAAAAGCACCTGTGGGACAACCGTGACCTGGATGACTGAGAACCTCCGTAGACATACTAGCTGGGGAATTCTGGGAGTTGAAGTCCATGCATCTTCTGATTGCCATGGTTGAGAAGCTTCTTGTTGAGAAGCTGTCATACTGGGGGGGGGAGGGGAAAGAGTTGATGGCTCTTTTTATCTCTTGGATTTAATTTGCACCTTCTTGGCTTTGCCAACTTCCAGACTGGCCCAGTTGACCTTTAAGAGAAATTGTACTGTGTCAACCATCTTATCAAGGAGAGATCCAATCTCTTTCCAATTGTCTGCGAGACATGAGCTCTCCATAACACTGGATCTCTGGATGCCACCACTCCACGTTACTTCAGCACTAGAAGCGTGGTTATCAAGCTTGATCTCTGGATGCCACCATTTTAAGTATTCAGCACTAGAAGCATGGTTATTGTAGTCCGGCCACCTCTAGAAAGTTGCACGCTTCCAGCTGCAATCTAGATTCCACTCAAAATGTCTTAAGGCAGGGGTAGTCAACCTTGGCTCTTTTATGACTCGTGGACTTCAACTCCCAGAATTCCTGAGCCAGCTAAGCTGGCTCAGGAATTCTGGAAATTGAAGTCCACGAGTCATAAAAGAGCCAAGGTTGACTACCCCTGTCTTAAGGGGTCTCCCCAAAAGGAAGAAGTGTAGAAACATGCAAATTTCTAGAGCAAAGAAACCCACAGAAGTCTGGAAATATCTCCAGAAGATCCCATTTCCAGTTAGAACATAGAATAATACAGCTGGAAGAGACATTGGAGGTCTTCTAGCAGATGTCTTTTCACGGTGTCCTCTTTGGCCTTTCAGCCTAGACTCATCATCATTTGCTTGATCTGCTGGGGGGAGGTGTTTGAGACTCTTTGATTTCTCTTGAGTCTGGGGGCTTTCTTGCACTTGTCGCCCACTCCCCTCAGCATAAGAAATAATCTTAGGAAGAAGACTTCCTTCAGGGCTCCTTTCGTCCAGCAGGTAATGAATGAGAGGTGACATGACCCCCATGCCAGGTAGATGTTTGCTGTTTTCCTCGGATAAGGAGGAAGGATCCGTTCTTTTAGCTGAGCCCCAAATTCTCCACTGTTCCTCTTACTTCCCCTTTGGCACCCCAAGTCCCTAAACTGCAAGGGCTCGTGTGGGAATTGAGGTCAGGATCCTGGCCATTGCCTTCCCGTTCCAAGACATCAATGGACCTCTTAAAAGTTGACCTCGTCTTATGTAACGTGATCTCCTGTCTCCCCTTTTACCCAGGTACCTTAAGGTGGAGTACTTCAGACTGCAGATTGGGGCAACCCAGCGCTCCAAACCTGGGCCAGATGCCCAGAACCGGGTCATCAAGAGGCTGGTCAACCATGCTCGCTATGACCGCGACAATCACTTGAATAACATTGCCTTGGTAGAAATGGACAAACCCGTAATTTGCAACGATTATGTCCAGCCCGCCTGCTTGCCGGAGGGGGACCTGGACCTAGATTCGCTCACCCACTGCTACATCTGTGGCTGGGGCATCACGATCATGGAGAGTGAGAGCCCCCAAAATTAAATAAACCAATAATAATCCCCACCCCACCCCCATCCCTATCCTCATGAAAATTGGGGGCTCTGGGCACCCTCTGGGTTCAGTTCCCCAACACATCATCAAGTTTGGAGAAAAGTCTGAGAGATACCTGACCGTTGGTCAGGAGATCTTGAAGGCATCACACTATAGTTTTAGGAAGTACAGAAACAATGTGGTGCTGTGGGTCCTAGGCTGGGCACGGGAATATCGGAAGGGAAGCAGGAACAGGAAAAATGGGTCCTCTGCATCCCTTAAGGAAATAGCATCCTTGGTCTAGACCAGGGTTAGGCAACCTTGGCTCTTTTATGACTCGTGGACTTCAACTCCCAGAATTCCTGAGCCAGCTGTGCTGGCTCAGGAATTCTGGGAGTTGAGGTCCACGAGTCATAAAAGAGCCAAGGTTGCCTAACCCTGGTCTAGTGAGTGCAGGAAGGAGAACATTGTCCTACAGTTGACCCAGAGTTTGGCCACTCCTGTCCTCAGGAACCTTTACTTGCATCTCCTTAAAGATATGCCTTTGTTCATATCTTTATATCAGGTTCTGCGATTGGTGGAAGCTGAACTAGAGAGCCGGGTGAGCCAAAAAATAATATTTTAAAGAAACGCTTCTCTTGTAGAGATAGAGATGAGATGAGAATGTTTCAACACATTCTTTTGAAGGACAGGACTGGACACCACGTCCCTCTGGCTGCACTCCCAAGTTGTCCAAAACAGTTTTAAAAGTTAGTGGTGCCATTCACAACCACGTTCTAAACTTAGAAATAGAATCCAGAGTCTGGGAGGGACCTCGGAGGTCTTCTAGTCCAGCCCCCTACGCAAGGCAGGAGCCCTATACCATCCCTGTCAAATGATTGTGCAGGGTAACTTGGTTAATTTAAACTGGGGAGAGGGTTGGGGAGGGATGTTAGTTTATCGCGTGAATCCAACCTTGTTAGTTTAGGATGCGGTGCATAGTGTGAAGCCAGTAAGTGACTTAATTCAATAACAAGGTCAACGGCATTATGGGAACTTAATCACATTACTAGCAGAGGGACTTTCCAGAGTGGATCTCTGATATTCAGCCCTTCTGTTTGCACGTGAAGCCTGGGGTCAAGAGGTCTGCTGAGGCCAGTCTCTGGTCAGGAACTGGATACCGGTGGGTTGATTCAACCTTCTCTTCTGCTCACAGGGGGAGCCAAATATTCGGACATCCTACAAGAGGCCGAAGTGTCGCTGGTGGCCAGAAGTGAGTGCAACAGCTCTGAACAGTATTCGACCCTCATAAGAGAGGAACACCTGTGTGCCATGTCTGACGATCCCAACAAGGGCAGCTGCCGGGTAAGTGTGCCCAGGGCAGAGGCCTCTTTCCCTCGGATCTGGTCTTCAGGGTCACCCTCCTTCTGCAGGATTTGAGAGGTGCCAGAGAGAGAGAAAAACACAAGTAGTCTTCCTTTAAGGACTAATTGCTCAGCAATCACGAGAAATTACAATGATCCTGAGCAAGGACACTGATGCTTTTTTCCAAAAGGCAAGTAGACCTGGGGTTTTTTTTTGTTTGAAAACATTTCACTTCTCATCTAAGAAGCTTCTTCAATTCTAACTTCAGTTCTTAGTTCTTCCCCTAGAACGGAAGAAGCTTCTTGGATGAGAAGCAAAACATTTTCAAACAAAAACCAAGAATGTCCTGTTGCCTTTTGGAAAAAAGCATCTCTGGGACAACCGTGACCTGGACATTTGAGAATTTCCATAGACCAGAGGTCCCCTGACCTTTTGGGCACCAGGGACCGGTTCCCTGGGAGAAATGTTTTTCTGTGGACTAGAGGGTGTGTGGTTTTGTGTGTTGCCTGCATCCCACGGATGGGGCTTTGCTTGTTTGTGCAGACCGGATGCTGGCATGCTGTGGCCCGGTACCGGTCCATAGACCGGGGCTTGGGGACCCCTGCCATAGACAACAAGGGGACTTACGACTGGTCCTCGTGGCTGCGGCCCTCATAGTATCCCTGGGATTGTGTGCTTGGCAACTGACTCCCAGCTGCACCATCCCATGGTCATGTGGCCACTATTTGCAAACTTCACTGCTGACGTCTGATCACAAAGTCAAGGAGGAAGCTGGCAGGAGGTCAGAAATGGGGATCACAGCAAAGCGGTCAGTTTAGCCATCTCTGCTAACTCCATCAACTTTGGCAGCCATTCATCCATTGTGGGGATTGTTGTTGTTGTTGTTGTTAGTTGTGAAGTCATGTCCGACCCATCGCGACTTCTGGAGGACAAGGACAAGGTTCCTCCAGGCCTTCCTGTCCTCTACCATCTTCTGGAGTCCATTTAAGCTCACGTCTGCTGCTTCAGTGACTCCATCCAGCCACCTCCTTCTCTGTCGTCCCCTCCTTCTCTTGCCCTCCATCTTTGCCAGCATCAGGCTCTTCTCCAGTGAGTCCTTCCTTCTCATGAGGTGGCCAAAGGACTTGAGTTTCCACTTCAGGATCTGGCCTTCTAAAGAGCAGTCGGGGTTGATCTCCTCTAGGACTGACCGGTTGGATCACCTTGCAGTCCAGGGGACTCACAGGAGTCTTCTCCAGCACCATCATTCAAAGGACTCCGTTCTTTTGTGGGATTACTAAGGATTTATAAAAGGGCATAAAAGTGATTGCTGAGTCTTCTGCCGTTGCACGTCCATGGATGGTGATGCTGAGCTTTCTGGTTATGTCTCCTCTCCCTCTCCCTCTTCCTGCAGGGTGACGGCGGTGGACCCCTGATGTGCAGGACGCCCCACACCGAGCGCTACTGGCTGATCGGCCTCAACAGCTGGGGCACCGGCTGCTCCAGTGGCAAATCCCCCGGAGTCTTCACTTCCACCCAGTCCTTCCTCACCTGGATCAAGGACATCCTGGCGAACCCCCCCGCCTCTGGCCTCTCTCCTCCATTCAGACCAACCACGCCCCGCACCCCCACCCCTCCGCCCCCAAGCCGGTTCACGGGAGTGTATTATCTCGACCCCATTTACAAAAAGGTCAACGGGATGCTAGTTGGGTACTTCCCAGAGGCGAACACGCATAGCCTTCCGACGCGCAAGTGGAGACCGCCCGTGAAACGTACCACCTGGCCTTGGTACACAGGAACCCCGAGGACATTCTCACCTTTCACTTTCTTCCCTCAGAACACTCCACGGTGGCCAACCCCCACCACGGCCTTCCTAGGCTGGGGCAAGGGACCTAGCATAATTTATAGGCTGCCCCGGAAAAAGTACACAGCCGCTCCGTACACCACGCGTTTTCGGTGGCCTCAGGCTCAATACTGGAATAGGCACCCTCTTTAAGGAAACCGGGGACTTCCATCCCATCATGGCCCAGATAAAGCATCCACGACCAGGCTCTTTCTGGGGTAATCCCTACCACCCAGCTCCTGAACTCCTGCGTCCTACTTTTCATTTGCCCCATATTTTTTTTATCATTTATCAGATTTCTGTAGCCACTTTTATAAACACACCATTTGAAATCGAGTTGGCCCCAAGCTCCACACGCCGGCTAAATTTCGGACAGCTTAGGAACACGACTACCAACTTTCTTCCTAAACCCACCAGAGAAGCTTCTCGGGAAACCTTATTTCAGACTAGGGTGCAAACGGCCGGTTCCGGGGACCAGGAGCCAATGTCCTGGCAGACAGCCTGAAGCCCGTTTCTGGAAGGAGAAGAGCTTCATCCGAGCCCCCACGGCTTCACACCGTCACCTTGGTCGGCTGAACCCCAATGAAGTCTGGCAGCTGCTCTCCTGTAGAAACACACCCCAAATAAAATGTTTCCTTCCAGAAATGTGTCTTATTTATTTCATGGGACGGTTCTAAGACGTTTCACCAGGCACGAGCAATATCTATCGTTGTGCAGCTGGGATTGAAGAGTAGTTGTCCACCATGTCTAGAGATTCCAGATATCAACTGAGAAAGAAAACCGGAAGAGTATTTGCATGTGATTTTTGGGGCAAAAGAGCTTAATTTTTAAAAATGGTGTTAACAGAAGGACCAGTTATGAATACTGTTTAAAGATCGGAGAAATGCCAGCCACAGCCCTGTTTTCCTAGGGCAGGGGTAGGCAACCTTGGCTCTTTTATGACTCGTGGACTTCAACTCCCAGAATTCCTGAGCCAGCCATGGTGAGGGGAAAGGGAGAGGTTTCCAAGCTGAGCCATGCTGGCTCAGGAATTCTGGGAGTTGAAGTCCACGAGTCATAAAAGAGCCAAGGTTGCCTACCCCTGGGCCAGGGGAACACTATCCTTCAGCACATTCTACCTCGTGGGATTGTCGTCACAAGGATAAATGTGACTCATCGAATAGCCCAAAGCACATATTCCAGTAGAGAGAAGTTCCCATAGGATGGATTCCAGCTCAAGTCCAAAAGCTTGGAAGCGTAGACCTCTTGTCCTGTTGATTGATCCAGAATGGATCCTGTAATATTATCCTGGGACACACATATTTGCCTTCGTTCATCCCTCCATCTTTTCTGTCCTGCGGTCCCTGGACCCAGGAAGGCCCCCAGACAGAGGACCAGGAATGATGGGTGCTTCTCAGGAGGACCTCCCAAAATGCAGACCAGATCCCGGCTAGCCACTCCTCCAATGATGCGGCTTAGTCTCCATCATCATCTGGGCCAGATGTGCCAAGGCATTTGGAAGGGGACAAACGCTGCTTGGAGCTGGCACATTCTGTATGAGGTCATACTGCCTGGGTGCTGATTGGCTGCAACTGGGCTCCGTGCACTTGTGACATCACGGCCGCTGGGAGAATGAGGGAATCAGAGGAGCATCTGGAGCCATCAAGAGGATGAGATGCATCCTCCTTCCACTCCAGATCCTGGCTTCTGTCTGGCCCACTCACACCATAGTTGATACTTGCGAGTAAGTAAGTGAGAAGGAGGAAAAAGGAGGATGGGCCCGATCCAGAAAGGGTTCCAAGAGGCAACCCTTGGAACGAGGTTCCCAAGGAGGCTATGTGCTCGGGAGAAGAAAGGAGGGCGTGTGGGTGAGAGGCCAAACACCATCTTGGCTAGCATAGCTAGGATTATAGAGCTGTGTGGTGGCGCAGTGGTTTGAATGCAGGACTGCAGGCTAATTCTGCTGGCTGCCCACTGCCAGCAGTTCAGCAGTTCGATCCTGACCGGCTAAAAGGTCGACTCAGCCATCCGTCCTTCCGAGGTCAGTAAAATGAGGACCTAGATTGTTGGGGGCAAAAGGCTGACTCTGTAAACTGCTTAGAGAGGGGCTGTAAAGCACTGTGAAGCAGTATATAAGTCTACGTGCTATTGCTATTAGCTGCAGAGAGGGGGCACATGGGCTGACGGTCACCGTCCTTGCTGCTAGTCAGGAATCAATGCTTGTTTCTCTCTCCAGTGTTTGCGGAAGACACCCCTTAGTGCCAGGACATGGCCGAAGTGAGCAGGTGGTGGGCGGAGCCGATGCCGAGGCTGGGGCGTGGCCATGGGTGGTCAGCTTGCAACTCCCCACGATAACAGGACACAAGCACAGCTGCGGAGGCTCCCTCGTGTCAGGCCGGTGGATTCTCACTGCGGCCCACTGCTTCTTGAACAAAAGGTGAGACTGTCCCACTTGGTGGCAGCAAGCATGGTGACAGGGTAGCCGTTTTCTAGTGTTTGAGGGGCTGCCACAGAGAAAAGGGGGGACAATCGACAAAGACAGGAAAGGAGGGAGCCAGACACCCCCAGTGAAGAGGTGGGATCTTATCTCGGTCCATTAACCACCTCCGGAATGACAGGTCCCTGTTTGGGCCCTACGCCAGTGGGCAGAGCTGGGTCCTCAGGCCTTTTCGGAAAGCCAAAACGGTGGGTGTGGATCTTACCTTGGGGGACACCTTAAGAGACAGTGATCGGCTCAAAAATACCCAGTTGGATTTCATGGCTAAGGCGGGACTAGAACTCACAGTCCCCTGGTAATTGGCCTAAAGTCACCTAGCCAGCTGGTGGGATTCAGCCAGTTTGCACCAGTTTGGCAGAACCGGGAACTAATTTTTTGTTGCCCAGGCCCAGAATGGACTTCCGGAAGCGGCATCCACACAGAGAACCGGTTGTTCACCTGTTTGAATCCCACCACTGGCCAAAGCTGTTGGTTGTCTATGGAGATTCTCAGTCCTCCAGGTCCTGTTTGTCCCAAAGGTGCTTTTGCAAAAGGCAACTAGACTTTCTTGTTTTTCCTTGAAGGCGCTTCACTTCTCATCCAAAAGCTTCTTCAGTTCTGACTGAATGGTGGAGGATAGAAGGATTTATATTCCTTGCAGTCCTCTTGCAGTCACCAAGGGGATCCCACACTCATTTGCACTATTCAGGTGATGCTTAGGGCACCGATAAACCTCCAGGTGGCCTCAACAGCTCTCAGAAAGAGTACTAACAACCAGATGACTACTGTAAGGAATTCTCCACCATTCAGTCAGAACTGAAGAAGCTTCTTGGATGAGAAGCGAAATGTCTTCAGGGAAAAACAAGGAAGTCCGGTTGCCTTTGGGAAAAGCACCTTCATGGTTATTGGTGTGGTGGAAAGGGCTGACCCACTGTCTCTCTCGCCAGGGACCTTCCGCACTGGCGTGCAGTGATCGGCGCATGGAAGCTTTCTTCGCTGGGCTCCGAGGTCCACGTGCGCTACATCAAGCGAATAGTGATCCACGAGGACTACCAGAGGACCACGGAGACCAGTGACATTGCTCTGATGGAGCTGGACCAGCCCGTGAAGTGCAGCAACTACATCCAACCGGCTTGCTTGCCTGACATGACCGTCACCATCTCTCTCCTAAACCACTGCTACATCAGCGGCTGGGGCATCCTAGGAAAAACAGGTGAGATCCTAAGGCTGCCCTCTGTGCCCCCCAAGGCCCGGCCACCTCTCCATGCCTCAGGAGCCCCACCTGGAACTCCTCTAGAAGTTTGAGAGGGAGTGTTGTCTACACCCACAACGTGGCTGCCATGGGAGACTTCCCGGGTGCCTAAATAGCCGTGACAGTGAGCGCGGACAGAAGGCACACTCAGCCCTCCTCACACACAGACACGCTTCCTTGGACCCCAGACGCTGCAGGCCTAGTAGATCCTTGTGGAGCAAAAATGCATTCCTGAAAATAAGTGTAATGCAATTTATTTATTTGCAGTTTGCCAGCTTCTTATGCATCATCATAACTGTCACCAGCACCACCAGCACTATCAACGTTTAATGCTTGGAACCACTTTGAGTTCTCCCAGTCCTTCTTCTCTTCTCTTCTCTTCTCTTCTCTTCTCTTCTCTTCTCTTCTCTTCTCTTCTCTTCTCTTCTCTTCTCTTCTCCCATCTCCCCCTCTCCCCTCTTCTCTCCCTCCCCTCCCCTTCTCTCCCCTCCCCTCCCTCCCTCCCCTCTCCTCCCTCCCCTCTCCTCTCCTCCATTCTTCTTCTTTCCTTTCTTCTCCTCTCCCTTCCCCCCATCAGGGCTACTTAGGACAGCCTGGGGGATGCTGGGCCTTAAACTTCCCAGAGGTCACCGCCAAGGCCCTGCTGCTCTCACCCAGAAGGCCCTTGCCTGAAAGCCCCAAAGCACCCTGGGAGGAAGGGAAAGTGGGCCTGCTAAGTCTCCTAAACAGCTGCCTTTCCTTTTAGCAGCCAGGGAGGTGTCTGACACCATGCACGAAGTGAGGGTCAACCGCTTCTCTGTGGCTCAGTGCAACAGCAGCAGCTGGTACAACGGGGCCATTGAGGAACACACCCTCTGTGCAGGTTATGAGGAAGGAGGAGCTGATATCTGCCAGGTAAACCCCCCTGTGGGAGACCCACTTGGTGGACCTTGAAATCCAGCGCCCCATCCGCTAGGCATGTGGTGCCCCAAAATGATGCCTGGGAATGCGTTGTACCCCCTTCCCTTACACTGCCCTTCTGGGTTCAAGGTTTAGTCCTGGAAGGCTGTGGGTTCATCCCAGTTGAAACTCCAATACGGGGCACCAGGTTGAAGAAGGCACAAGGTCCTCTGAAAGCAGGACTCAACCATGATCTACATATCTACGAAGATGCTCCATCATTTGGGTCCTGCTTGTCCCAAAGGTGCTTTTTTTCCAGAAGGCCACTGGACTTGCTGTTGTAACTTTGAATGGCCACTAAGGGAACTGTTGTAAGTCAAGGACTACTTGTATTATGAGCTACCTCTTTCACGTCCATCCAAAGGCTGCATCTTTCATCCCCTTGAGGCCCAGGGAGACGGTGACCATCAGGCTCTCCCTATGCTTCCTCCTTCGGTGGTATCCTGCCAACCCTCAGCCCTCCTTCTCCCTGTGTTTTTGTTCCAGGGAGACAGTGGTGGCCCCCTC